TGAGTTAGTTAAGAATCATTCAAGGTCTGCATTATACATTCTATAGTATGTATTGTGTTTATAATGTGCTTACGTTTGGACGTGCACCTATCCTAGGATTGAGGGACTAAAGTAATATGCTCAACGCCTTACAAGTAAACAACTAGGCCACCTGGCTTGTGAAACACAAGTGGCAAACAAGATGAAAACACCGAGTGAGGTAAACCTGCTGCACCAGCTGGTGACATTTGTCGCAAAACATATTTTGCCTTTCCCTTATTGCCTGAGCGTATCTGTAATTCCAGTCACCGATTTCTGCCACCAACTGAGACTGAAGGCGCTGTTGTGCGTTTTGAAGGTGAGAGTTTCGCTCTTGAAGATAGTTGTTACTCGATATCAGAGTATTAACTCGGTTTTCGAGGGACTCCGCTGCCTCGTGGGCCTTCCGGAGCAACATCTGCCATTTATTGCCTGCTCGGGTAAACATTAGCCCTCATCCCACGTTTATGAATGAGTAAAGATACTTACTTGCCAATGGAGCAACAATTTTTCTCCTAGCCATATTGCTGGAACGACATTAGATTACTGTATTTCTTAGAAGGGGACTGTAAGACTGTAATGGCTTTATAGTAGGGCGATTTCATCAAGAGAATAGATATGAATCGATTAATCGTTTCTTCCGATAGTGCAGCTGAAAGGTTCTGGAAACATAGAAAAGAGAAAGATCTTGTACCACTAAATATAGGATAACGGGCAAGTAGGTCCTCCTACGGTATAATAGGCTTTCCTTACCACACAGTTATCCTACGACGTGATACAGCTGTTCTTAGAAACACCACCAACACTCGTAGAAGCTAGTTAAGTAATAGGTCGCCACCTTCTACGCCTTGGATAACCCAGACCAGGCTTTAGGAAAGATTAGCGAAATATCCAGCATCATCCAGAACGCTCCTTTTTGGACTGCCTGATTTCTAAGCAAGTTTATGCGTCACCGAATTTCACCCATGTTACTTGCATCAAAGTGCATCATAGAAAGCAGTTGAATTACATGCAGGCCTATCACCCTTATAGCCGTAATACAAATGGTCAACAGAGAGGGAGTCACTGGCAATGATTGCTTAACCGGCGGGATATAACATCATTGGAATAGTCAATGAAAACGGGTTGTCTTATCCCGCTGCCTTGTAAAGCCCAGTATAATATACGCAATATGCCCGGGGTAAAAATTGAGATATCAATATCGGGCCGAGCGTTAAACATTAAAATGGTCCTGTAATTGGTGATTCGAAACAAAGGCCGGCCTCGGGCAAGCTGAATTGACCATGGGGCATTCGACACTCCGTTTAATAACCACGTATCGACCGGTCACTTCCATAAGTCTGACATTCCGAAGACAGCGAGAAGGAGAACGACGATTACTCTAACGAAAAGAATGCGCTTGATACTGCGACCCAATTGCAGATGATATATTCTGCGTTACCAGACACGTAGACAAGGATTGAACAGTACAGAATGTTGAAAACCCGGAGCCCCGCTCGGCAAGCTTCGTGAATACAAAGTAGATTTAAAGCAGACCTACGGCCAGCTAATACCATCTGTTTCCTATTGGTGACTGCCATACTCTAGGAGGAACAAGACAAGAAGAGCCCTCCGAATTATAAGAATGGCTTCTACAAAGACCGATTCCGACATCTCCGACACATTCAAAGTGCTTCAGCACACGGTCCCTAGCCAGCATATACGGGAATATCCCCAGGCAACGGCTGTCAACCAGGAGGACGTTTTATACCTTGCTGTGAAGCAATATGTGCCGTGGGATAACCTACATCCTTCCCCTGGCGCGGGAGCATCGTCTCCGCGCATGCGAATGGAGTACCCAAGGTGATCTTATTCCCACCCCATTCCCTCACAGTGCTAACGGAACCCCAGGAAGCGTATGAGCCCTTTTGGGTGGACATTTATCAGGCAGCCAATAAATCCGGGCTAGCGATTCGTGGTATCTGGATGGCCGACGTGGCCCACCAGGGTGTCAGTGGTCTGGTGAACGAGGAACGCTTGGGAAATGATCGTATGTTTCGCTCATTTCTTCCCCTGCTGACGGCTCCTCCCCATTAACCCGCAGCTTCTTACCAGCTTCCGCCTTTGACCATTCTCGGGACCTGTTACTCCTGATAAACCGTTTCCGAGACAGCCTTCCGCAGCCAATTTTTGGCCTTGGGCACAGTATGGGAGCGACGCAATTGATCCATCTCTCCCTTATGCACCCCCGAATCCTGCAAGGTTCTTTTCTAATAGAGCCCATTGTTTTCCCTTATTCCGGGGCGGATCAGGGTCGATACCCGGCGGCGCTAGTATCCCTGCGACGTCGAGATACCTTTCCCACCAAGGACATGGCTGTAGCCCACTTTCAGCGCAGCAGGCTGTTTCAATCGTGGGACCCACGGGCATTTGATAAATGGATTGAATATGGCCTCCGTGATGCTCCACCTGGTTCCGAGCCGCGAGTGGTTTTGACGACCCCCAAAAGTCAAGAGTTGTCCACCTTTGTTCGACCCATTCTCGCCCCAAAATCGACCATAGACCGTCGCATGCTCTGCCCGGATCTTGCACTCGAGGCACTTGACGATGAACGGATCCTGTTCTATCGCCCCGAACCGGTCATCACATTTCATAATCTCCCACACCTGCGACCACCGACCATGTACGCATTCTGTGAGGGCTCACAGCTTGTCACCCGAGAGATGCGGACTGTGATCACGGAGAAGACCGGAACCGGCGTGGGTGGAAGTGGCGGGGTGGTAACAGGGCGTGTTAACATGACCGTCATCAATGACGCAGGGCATTTTGCTCCTATGGAACATCCCCAACGCCTAGCAGACCATGTTGTGGAGTGGCTACAGGGTGAAGACCGCCGGTGGATCGCTGCAGGGGAATTGGAAAGACCGAAACATCGAGGGCAGGATGAGGGAAGCCCGCGCGAGATGAGTCGGGAGGTGTTAGCTTTGTTAGGGGGAACAGACAGTTGCCCAGACACAGCAGCGCGTCCCCATAAATTGTGAAACCACCATGCCGGAAGAAAACACTTGGATGGCCTTTCTACATTACGGCAGCCTGATTTAGAGCGATATTAGCAGCGAGTAAACTGATCTGTTTAGAATGGTCCTTGGGTTGGCATAGGACCTGCAGGGCACAGACGATGAACTTCTCTAGTTCTGGTCAATGTAAACTTAAAAGTATACCTCACAGGAGGTTAGACCTGCTCTACAGGGAACAATAAGGGAGATGAAACGCAAAGAAAGAGCTCCTCCTTTCTAAAGCAAAGATCTTGCCCGAATAGAATTCTACTACGATTCGAGCCTCGAACCAAGAAGCACTACATATATATTACGAGTTTTTGGCTCTAGAGACTTAAGCAGCCAAGCGATTGAATTCCTATATAATTTTGGCTTTTGCAGTATATCAACCAACAACTACTGACAAAATGGATCCATGCATGACCAGGATTTGCAATCAGTAATTGGGAAGGACGAGGGCATAGTCAATCTTTCAGTTGACCGGGAAAACACGGAGTCGATAGGAGATAGGTCAAAAACGAGCCTGGGCAAGATGGCGCGTACCATCCGAGATCTTATCTTTATCTACCCCAATTCCCCACTAGAGCGATTATTCTCAGATATTAATCGAACAAAGCTGGGCAGTGCCTATGAGAGTACTGTATTTTAACGAGCCGACCCGGGCAATTGGAGTGCACGCATAAGACTCCGGGAAGGGTCATTGCAGGCGAGCAAATATGCCCGTTGATAATAAAGTGGCATATTCTTCAATACCCGCATTTGGCCATGGACTAATCCTTAACTAGATATATATGCGGCTGTTTACGGGATGCCCATTATGATATTATTATTTAGCCTCCAGTCCAACTTTTACGGCCTGAGTTAGGCGAACAACGTTCAGTGGTGAGCAGTTGGTTCCAGTTCTATCTGCCATGTCTTTTGCTTGCCTTATCACCTTATAACGCCTGACATTGGCATCACCAGGTGCATTATGGATCGAAGATTGCGTGGGTAACAGTTGGGTGGTGGGGGCCGGCGTGCAAGACATGCGCAAGCAAATTAACCAGAGTGGATGATGATGTGGGGCTTCTATTATTTTCGGCAGACGATGATGCCTATCAAGGGCTGGAAAATACAATACACGGAATCAAAGTCTAAATCTCAGCAGATGCCCTCAAGCGTTTCGCGGCGACTATGCGAGGCGTCTGCACGTTTCCTACCGTGAGAGCTTTTGGTGTACAGCAGACTTTGCTGGAGCCGATCAAAAAAGATGTGGGGATTGTAGTGGCTGGAAAGGCTAATCGCGCCTAGGACGCATGTCTCACAAAGTATCGAACTGAGCGGGAATAGACATGGTCAGGACCAAGCCTACAATAGGATTGTGACTGGCGGCCTAGCTTTCGGGGGCCTGAAAGAGTCCAGGTTGTACCTTGCATAGCCCATTTGGAACTTGACTTTACATCGAGGTTACTATATTGGTAAGTAACCTCCTTTGTCGCTTGGTGGGGATGAGAATGACGGCTCTGCAACTGGGGTACAGTGGGACAAGGACATACGTGTATTGATAGGGATTGTTAGGCTAGTCACTGGGCAACCCTAGACTGAAAAGGACCATGATGGTAAGGCTGATCCAATGCTATTGACATATTTGTTAGTATGGGGTCGTAAGGGAGAGAAAAACCTACCGCATGGGCTTGGATAAAAGAACCTTTGCTGGGCCGGTCTATCAGGCAGGAAATACTCAACAGAGTAAGCTTGGGCGTACAGGTACCTTCGAGAAAGTCTGCGATATGAACAGGTAAATACCGTGATAAACGGTTAATAGAAGCCTGTGCTATTAACGAAATGCTCAACATAGTAAAACATAAGCAAGGAAATCCATTATATTGGCGTGGCTTCCACTGACATGCCATGAAAGAACTACAAGCCACTCCAGAAGTATCCAATGAATATCGGCTTCTCTATATTATGAATTGGTTCCGTCGTATCTGGCTATGGCCCAGACGCAAGTATGAGGCGTGCCCTTTCACGTGGTCCCAATGCTAACTGTACCCCACTTGTAGACGGGTGCATCGGACTGCTTCAGTTGAGGATCAAGGTGACCTGCACGACGCCACGATCGGCTACTTTGTCACAGTCTGTGTGGGTTCCCCCCATAGGCAGGCCGCAGTGGAAGATTCCAGCTTGATGGGTGATGATACCCAAAAAGCCGCTGTCGAGAATTCAAGATGTGAGCGCTGCCATGGCCGTCGTTCTACGAGTTATCACTGCAGACACCGGGAAGCCTCAGTGCAGTACCAGCCGGTGGCATATGCTCACGGCGGCGCACTGGCTGTGCGGGCGCACGAAAGGCTCTACAGCAAGGGCCCTGGCTTCAATCGACTGTGGATTTACCGGCAGGCGGACGGGTGAAAGAACCTAGAATCAGCCCAAGCAATACGCAACTACAGCCAAAGTCTCCGGCTCCGGTATATGAACTGCGTGGAATGCCGACAAGCTCGTTAGACAGGAAATAAGAACGTTGACTCCTCGATGCCGTAACCTTCCAATGTATTGTAAAATCAATGGGCTTCCTTGCTACTTAGATACATTATGATCGGGTGATTCCTTTCATTCTGCAAAGTCTCATGCGCAATTGAACTTATGTAGGGTTGTGCTTCTTCCTTGGTGGCCTCAGCCGAATCGGTTGTATGATCGCCAAGAGCTGCTCGATTTCCCCGGTGAGCGTTCTATACCCGGCAGTAGATTGTTTTCCTCTTTGGCCAAGTGTTCGCCACTTCATACGAGCCTCACGGAGCTAGTTTTCCAGGGACGGCGCACTGGCGACGAAGTCAACATATGGCGCCGTGCTGCTTGTAGCTTGTCATCCGGGTCTCTTTCTTGGTGATCGCCTTGTCGGGTCTGGGGTATGAGAATATTATTTTCCAGGTCTGGGAACAGGATATCGTATACATAAGCGTAGTCCGACATGATAAACACATGGACAGCATTATAGGCACGGCGCATGGTGCATCGCTGGACCGTGTATCACTGTAAACGCGACTGTTGTGGTCCGGAGCTGGAATGCTTAAGGCCGAATCGACGCCATCAAGCGATGCCGGTTGCTTATTCAGCCAGGACATGGGTGGAATCGGTGGAGCTGGAGACGGTGACCGGAGGAATACCGTGAGAAATTCATCGATGTCACCGTTTGGGGCACACATCCTGCCTGCCCTGAATAATGCTTACATATAAACCATGGGACCGGGAATCCGATGAGTCCAACTGCAGCTCTCAAGAGCTGCGTTTGGCAAACCTGAGCACTTAGCCGTAGTATATTCGTACCCACTTCCTCTTGTACGGTTTGCGACCTTGCTGGACTCCAATGACTCCTTATCCGTATCGTAGCTGGCAGCGCCGTGAACACAAGGATCTATCAGGCACTACCCTTCCTCGCCGCGGTGACGTCTAGATGTCACTAATCCCATCCACACTTGATGCATGCAGTGTACTATATGTTGGCTATAGCCGCCATCTTTTAACAATCTTGGCGCTGATAGGGGTCTGTCGCTCCACAAATGGGCCCCTGCGGTCGGAGTATCCCTCTCCCATCTCCAGCGGGTCTGGCAAACTTGATATAAAGACTTCGCAGGTGCAAATGCTTGCTACTGTCCTGTCGGATATCCGTCACGGTTTACATGTCTTCGCTTGCTTCGACGGGCGTGCTGTTGCGAGACCCAGTTGCCACACCCACCCGATGAATCGCTCGGACCTCTGTCCAGACGCATATCATACTGCTTCGTTTGGAAGGGTTTAGAGGACAAAATCAACAATCAATGGACACGGTTGCCTAGGATGCTAACCGGCAGTCGGTGTATGTAATGTTATGTACGCGGCAGTCCCAGACCTCAGAGAAAGCTAAGCAACATTTGGAGAGCGCAATGGACTAATGGACTGAAACAAGGTCTATCTACTATCGCCAGGATCAACCATAATCACCTTCGCTTTGCAACCAACCGTAGCCAACCTCTATAGATACTCCACCTAGGAGTTCAGGCTTTAGGCGGAACTGGAACCGGGGCGGGAGCCGGGGCCTTTTGATTGGCAGCTGGAGTGACAGAGGGAGAATCAGCCGGGGCGTGGCTGTCGTTTCCGACCGGCCGACCCTCACCCCTGCCCTCCAGCAGCACGGCCGGGGCATCCTTCCAGCTATCGCAAATCCTAGTGATCCCGTCTTGAACACTTTCGAATGATTTCTGGAAGTGGGTCAGGAGCGTCCTCTGTTCCTCGTAGCGACCCTCCATCTCGCGCTTCTCCTTCTCGAGAGACGCGTTTTTGGTCTCCAGTCGGCGATTCTCGTTCTCGAGCCGCTGACTATCAGCGTGCTTCAAGATGTAGGAATCCCACATGCGCCGATAGAGGGCCACGAGGCGTGCCGCCTGTGCGGCCAGAGCGGGATCTGTCTTATCCAGCCGCTCCAGCTCCTCGGCCAAAGGTTTAAACAGCTCCGCGGTTGACGCCGTTTTCGCGTCCTTGGTGGGAGAATCGGCCGACTGAGGTCAATGTGGTCAGCGGATGTCTCCGTGGCTCGTGTCGGGCGACCTTACCTTTGGCAATGGTTGAACTCGAGGCGGTGGGGTCCGGAAATCATTGTCCTTTCGGGGCGGCGGCGATTCGGATCTGCGCTTGCGCTTGGATTGATAGTGATCATTCACCGAGTGATGCATGACTGGAGCTATGTGCTGTCGAGGAGATGCGAATCCTGCCATGAATACGGCTCTCCAGTGGGATGTAGTGCCTTTTTATAGATACTACGATTGCCTCGGAGCATGGGGGAGAGCAGAATACACCGGCGAGCAAAGCATGAGAATCGCCTACGCATACACGGCCCATTTTGGCACGGTCATGACACACCGATTGCAGAAACACACCGTATGCTTAAAGCATCACTTGGTATGTGATGCGCTCGATTCACCGAATACTCAAAGAAATGGGGGCAAGACGTGGGCTGGTGCCATCATCTTGTCACGGCCTAGTATTCCCCGGGTCTCTAGGATTTCAACCATCGTGGCCATCTTTATGCGTTTGACTAACATGGTGAGCGTAAAACCGACGGTTATTCTCTACCGTCATCTGCCCGCTCGACAGCATGATATAAATAGAGACAAATAATCCAACAGGTGGTCCACATGATATTATATGGTCCTTGTTTCCCATTCAACCGCATGCGTCGAGTAAATGGCTCAACCGAGATGTCTCTGTCGTACGCGACGGCTTGCAGAGCGACTACAACATGCGGTGCAGGCGAATGAGGTGGATCACCCAACCCACGAAACCAACATCGAGGCCGGTCCCTCTCGGACTCTGCATTGGGAAGCGGAGAGGGAAAGGCAGTGGCGGTCACTAGCTCCGTCGCCAGAATCTGTGGAAAAACCAATACGGAAAAGGTACGATAAGTTAATCAACAACAGTTACGGTCTTACTAAAATGTACTACTGCAGGCGTGACCTGAAATGACATTCTCGATTACTATGCATCCCTAGGGCCTGGGCGTATGTCGAGGGTGATGAATACAAGATGGTCTATTCATTAGGGGATTGCCTGTTGTTAATTGGTATTGGTAGATCACGTTCGCGCCTGAGATCCGCAACGAAAGACTTTACCATCTACACTGAGGATAGTTGTTGGAATCAAGGCTCTCATCATCCCATGTTGCATTAGAATGAATTAGTCGTGTGGTATATCTCATAATGCTGGTAGAACGGTTGATATATCCTAGCATATGGTCAATAGCTATCCTCCCCATCGTCCCGGGCAATTAATACCAACAAAGAGTCCGGCGGTTGCGAGCCGATATCGAGAACATCCGGCATGCGGCGGTATGCCACCAGCGCAAAAGCAAAGCAACGACGTATTGTCTAGATGGGCCTAGCCATACGAACCACCCTCGCTAGTATACCCTCATAGTGACATGCAAAGCATCAAGAATAATGCTGCTGTAGGTGGTTCAATTCCTTCCACAGGGGATCTCTTACGGATCAGACTCGGGGGCAAAATTACTCAAATGCCCGATTTTCTGAACATGCGTCGCTAGCCGTGACCAGCGGTGTTGATCATGAGCGCCCGATTATTTTTGCCCAGCGGCGCAGTTGCCCGCGTCGGCCCGACGCAGCAAGGGATGCTGGTAATGATGGAATTTGGTCATCCTATCTGGCAACAAAATGTGATTACACGACAAACGACCGATACAGTTGCGGCCGCAAGTCCCTTTTATGGATTCAAGATGGCCGCCCGAGGTTTCATACTTTTATGGACCTTCCTGGGCAAGACTGTCCACGGCCAAAAGAACTCGATTAATCCATCCTAGCAACCTCTAATGTTATTGGATCGTAGCTAACCCATGAAGCTAAAACTGCCGAGAGAAGCGCCCGAATGCACCTTCCGACCGTCCTTGTTGGTAAGTGCTCTCTGGAGCTCGGCATGAAATCAACCATCTCGATCGACCCTACGGCACAATAAGAGGAGCAAAGAATGGGCATTTTTGTGGCCTCATTTCCGCACGTCTTGTGTGTGCCCCTTGTACCTAGTCCAGCCATATCTCTTCGCCATGGCGTCCAAGCACCGAATCAACCGCATACAAAATGCTTCCCACAAAAGGTCCCAAGAAGTCCTCCGGCTCAACCTCGCGCGAACACTCGGCCCTAGGGATGATATTGTATTGTTGGTGACTAGCAGGGTCTAGGGGCTAGGGACTTTCTTCGCGATACACGGGCAACGTACTGACGCAGCGAGAATAGCAGAAGGGTTCGTATTGGATGATTGTACTTTGTTTTGTACTATATGTAGCGATAGAGCATGGATTGTAGATACATCGATGGATAGGGGCGGATGATATTTGCTCAAACCTGGTACGAAGAGGATAAGACCCGCCCCGTCCACTCTCATGGGATATTGGACCGCATCTGGAGCCCCATGCCGATATTCTTCAATGCAAGCTCAGATCGCCGCGTCCCAGATGTGCCTGCCATACGAGATGCTGTTCAGGATCACAGCAAGATGCATCAGATAGAGGCTGGGCTTCCACTCGCCCACCAGACGCAATCTCTCCGGACCCCTTGCCAGATAGCCGAGCCCCGCCAGAAGGTTCCAGCCAGCAAGCCGTATCAGCCCGACGACGAGTGGCGATGGACGGGCCCAAGGTTGACGGAGGATATAGATCGGTGGCAGTAGTGCAAATGAACCTAGTGCCAGGCAGAATTGGCAAAAGTATAAGTGATGGGAAAGAAAGTCGGTCATGGTACCAACGACGGCAATGGTCAAGCAAAAGAGGTATGCGAGACGGACGTAGCCGTGTTGGTCAGATGACAAGATCACCAATGGAACGGTCGTGGTATAGATCAGGAATAGGGTGCCGGCCTGTTCGAGCTTTAGCCAGGAAACGGCCTGGCTCCCGTAGAGCGTCCCTCTGATTCGGTGGGCCAAGCTGCATAGACACCAAAGTACGACGCCGCTAATGTACAGAGTCACAGCTTGTGTTTGGACAATAGTGCCTGGCGACGTTGGGAAATGCCAAAGCAAGAAGGAAACGAGGAAGAAAATGAAGTAGGAAAGCCCAACCAGGTGGATCGAGACGAGGACCGCACCATCGCGATGAAGAGCCTTGTTGATGGAACTCATTTCGGTATGGCAGCGGTTCGCAGCAGGGTGTGAAAAACAGTCTGCCTTTGCATCGTGGGCTGGCCTCGGAAGTCATATATATATGGCGTTCCTTACCTCACTAGACTGCTAGGAGTGTGTCCTGCAGTAGGGCTGGTTAATGGTCTGGCTGAACGGTCTGGCTGATCCGGGGGGGCATTTTCATCCGTACATGACCAGCAACAAACGGACCCATGTTGGTCCAAAAGATGACCGTGCGAATGCGCAGCAAAAATCAGCAGAGGGGAGAGAATAAGCTCGCCTGCCGATGGGGGGTCCAGATTCAATCTGGAGTATCTTCTCTGGCCTGCTTGACTCATTGACTGCACCCAAGGGCTAGTCAACCTATCACAGGCATTGTCCGCCCTGGGAAAATGAGGGTTGACGGCAACTGATGGCCTTTCACGGCTGGTCCGCGTACCAGTCCCTACATTTGGTGGGTGCCATCAGTTCATAGCCATTGAAACCTGATCATCCGACCAAGACGGTGTGCATTTGATCTGTCTTCACTACGAGTATATAAACGGAAGTTAGGAGACGAAATGGACACAGCTGGCTACCACAGGACTACAATGGCAGCATGGTTAGGCCTCTCACACGACGATGCAGCGGGCTGGTCCCTGATCGATACGGGCCGGATGGATGACATCGTGCAGGACATGAGCCATCCCGCCACACAGTACCCGTCTGTCCTCTCGTTCCTGGGCAATGACAGTCGGGTGACAGCCCTGCGTGCGCTCTTTCCCCAGAACAATGTTACCCGACGAGGACCAGCTGGCCTGGTCCGGTTGCATCTCAGTACCACGACCGCCAATACCGAGCATCCAGTGTGGTTCACCGAGAGCAGTTTCGCCCGCCCACCGACGGTTGACGGGTCCTCCATAGCACCATCCGCCGACCGTTCTCGACGGTATCCGGTTCGACAAGACCGACTCGAAACGCCGTGCGACATCAAAGACCACCTCCTCACGAGACTGGTGTTTCCGTGGACGCACGTAGCGTGCTTCTTTGTGGACGGAGAGAACGAGTTGAAGACCGTGACCAGCTGGTTGGCGGCAACCCACGAAGGTGTTCATGCTAGCCCTTCGGACAAACCAGGCCCGGTGCGAATCATATTGATCCTGACGGAGCCAACCGCGACCTACAACGCCGACCCGGTGGAGACGGAGTTGCCCGGTTCAGACGTCGCGGGCGAGGAACGACCGACACTATCGGTCCTAGACCTGCGCGGTCGTCATCAGTTGTCGCCCTCTGCCCTTTATGCCTCACTACAGCGTCTCCTACTGGACGGGCTTCAGGACAGCCGGGCGGAGCTCATACAGCAGGGGCTGCTCTTCTCCGCCGTTCATCTCAAGTTCATGTGGAATAGGTGCCTTGGGCAAAGTCTTCTACACCCGGATACCCGAATCAATTGTCTCTCCATCGCTCGGGAACGGCTGCCAGTCCCGTTTGCGTTCCACGATGGCCTCGCGGAGCTGCTCGGGGAGGCGTGCAAGATCGGGTGTCCGATCCATGACCTCCGTCAGTTTGTAGCGTCGGCTCTCCTGATGGACGCCTACCCTCCAGGGATGCATCGTAAGTGCATCTGACCATCGTGCCTGTTTCGGCGGCTGATAGGGCCGAACACGACCACTGACGCATCTAGGTTTCCGACCCCAGCACGTCTTTGATAGCTTGTATCGGGATCTTTGGCTGACGGCACCGGAACTGGACGAAGGCCCAGACTGGGCCCACCAGGGTGACGCTATTCGGGATGCTTTCATCGACAGTTTCGCCCAGATGGGCCCCCTGAGAACCTCGCTCACAATCCGGAAAGAGGCACTGAGGTGCTTCGGCGCACAGTGGCCCGACCTCACGTTACCCACGATGTGCCTGTTCTGTCTCGGCCGACCCGCGGAGCCGAATATCACCATGATCTCTCGCAGTGTCCCCTGTGTCAGGGTGTCGTCGAACGCACGGTTCGGCAGTTACCACCGACCAAGCGGCCCGTCGTGCTCGCACTGGATGGAGGCGGGATCCGTGGCATCATCACCCTCGGCCTCCTGCAAGAGCTGGAGAGACGGCTCGCGGGCAGCATCGTACTGTCCGACATTCCTGATCTGACGGCCGGCGTCAGCGTAGGTAGGTCAGCCCCGGAGATCACCGTCGTCGCCGCTACGGCGGTCGTGCCGCCAAGTTGTGACCGACCATCGTTAACTCATGCCAGGTGCCTTCATCGGGACAGATATTGTGCATAACAGTATCTCCGCCGCAGAGGCCTACCGGAAGTTCCCTGGCTTTGCACGGAAGGTGTTTCCGACCTCGGGTATCCCGCTGGGTAGATGGCCCTGGCTGAGAGTCGTCATAGGCCTTTACAACGATAGCCTGTACGACGCAGACGCGCTGGATCAAACGATTCGGACTGTTTGCGGGCCAACTCGTCGGGTATTTGACGCAGGGACGACATCGGCCGGGGGCCGTCGTCTCGCAATTGTTGTTAGCCGGACATCCGACGGCAAGCCTGTGGTCTTCCCCAACTATCATGGTGTGGGGCGGATGGGTATCGATTCAGGATATCAGGTCATGATGCGTCAAAATGGGACTCAGAATCCCTTATTGTCGGACGTGTGAGTGGCTTCATCCTGTTCCTCGAACGTGTCATAGGCTAACGATGTGTGCCAAGTCTCGAATGTAGCGTGGCGGCCCCTGGGTATGAATGATCCCCATAATCCACGACCACTCTGTCCTTGCCTGGTTTAGCGTGCTCACTTCGGCCTTAGGTTCTTCCGCTCCAAACTTCTCCCAGGGCTCGGCCCCTTCCAGGACGGGGGAATCCGCGCCAATAACCCCCATGGGATCGCGCAGGCCGAATGTCGCCGTATCTGGCCGTCGGCCCGGACGCATGATCCACTCGTCTCCGTCGGAACAGGCTACATCCCATCGACGGCAGACTCGAACACCTCACCCAGCCACGCCGGTCGTAGCCTCCACGACACGGCCCCTCTTCGTCTGTGGCGGGCGTACTGCTCGTCCCCGTGTATGGACGGGACTGCAGCCTACAAGGAAGGCCTGAACCATGTTCCACACGCCATGCGGTTTCGTACGTTCCGGCTGGACCATGCCCTGGACGGCAACTTGCCCCGGCTGGACGATGTCGGACAACTGGCGGCGCTGACGAGCCGGTCGTACCGAGTACCAGACGAGCTGGTCCGAGCGGTGTTGGCTACGTGTTTTTTCTTTGAATTAGACGAGGCTCCCACCCTCATCCGGGGTCAGTACTATTGCCGGGGGTCCATCCTGTGTGCGCGACGGCAGGCACGACGGATCATGGAGCGGGTGCTGGTGGAGTTCCCGGGCGCCGAGGTCTGCACTCTCCGGGGCGATGGGCTGGGCCGAGTTGGCGAGGACGACGGATGTACGGTCTGCGGGTACTATTGCAAACGGGTTCGATTCTCGGTCGGCAGTTTGGATGAAGAAGTGACGATCATTTTCACCGGTACCTCCCACCAGCACCCGATCGGTGGATTTCCAGCCACCGTGCAGCAGTTCCTCCACCAGCAACAAGCCGACGCGGTCTTTGGTCGGTCCGACCACCAAACCGACCGATGGCCACCCCGGCGAAGGTGCTATTGCGCGAGAGGGACCAAGCGGGTGCAATTCCAGGAACCGCCTCCAGAGCGCAAGAAACGGCGTTTATAGCGGGGATGTCACCGGATCATCCGTCGGTGGGCAGACATCGGCTGGCACCCTGGCCAGAAGTGATACTGCATAGCCTTCATTCGATGGCCAACGACATAATATACTGAAATACCTACACGGCCAAATGCCGGCGCTACATTGATTATGTTGTGGATAGCAGATCGTCCCCAAGATGGTGGTTGCTTACGTAGTACATGAGGATAGAATCAAGCATAATTAGTCTACATTGGCGAAACCCTGAAAGAGCAGTTACATATATATACATATATTGATCTGGGCCGACTCCCAACCACGGTAATCAGATATTGTTTTCCTGCAGATCCTCGATTGCAGCCAAGGCATCACCGGCAGCTTCCCAAGAATACCACAGCACGAGATACTGGGCGGAGTGGTGACCATCACAACCCGCTGACCGTTTCGCGATCACTTTGATAGGTATCAGGGGCCCGGTGGGGAGGCACTAGCATCTTCTTTAGTGACGAGAAGCACACGATCACAGTTGATGGGGATATACTGGTTTCGGGTCGGCATCGTCGTTATCGCAGGCAGACCGAGGCACGTTTCTGTCTGGCGAGCTGGCCCTACTGTCGTGGAACGAAAGCGGCTCCGAATCAGAAACCACAAAATCGCGGTCTTCGCTGTCTTCCGATGAAACGGCGGTGCTCGATGCTGAATAAAGCCAGGTTTCTGCGCTTTCGCCGTCCGATTCACTAGATCCGGTAGACGTCATGTCGCCAGGCACAGGGGTGGGTGGTGGATGGAATCGGTGTTGAAACCTTCTCTTTTATAGCGATTCTATACCGACCGGGTTCACGGGAAATGACTACGACCCATAGTAGTGTAAATGGAAGAGAGGAGGAAATAAAAAAACAAAAAGAGAATATCGATGGGTATCTGTGTGGGTATTAGACGTACAGCTTCACAGATTCTACTACATTCTGGGCCAAAGGCTAGATACACCTGCTCCAACTGTCCTGCAGCGCACCAATGGATTTTCACCACTTTGCCCAATGCACATTTCTGTTGCCTCGGCCATGGCGGGTATTGGGACAATGCAGAGATATATCCATATTGCCCACACTCGATTTTCTTCCTACCATACCGACAATGTCAACCTGGATGCCCATCTGAGTCCCTCAACTCTCTCCGGGGGAGCGAGCGAACAGAGCATCACCCCTGATATGGCCCCCTCACGTTTCATCATTCCCATCACCTTCACAGATGCCGAAGCTTCAATACGCTAGTCTCGCTTCGACTTTGGCGCCAGTATACGGACTACCGCCCTCAAATTCATGGGACGATGATGGGCAGTCGCGATAGATCGAAAGCCCTAGGGCACGGAGCCAGCCCGTCTTGGATGCCATAAATATTCCTGTCCCGGTCGCGATGATTCCTGGGACCAGGTACAGGCACCATGTACCTAACACGCCAGGCCCAAGTCGAATCGAAGGAAAAGGCTCTGGAAGCCTACCGGAAGGAACGATTTCGTGGAAGCGCCCGAGTCCGTCTAGATTGCCTTGGGTTTGAGAAGGGGTTCAGCCGCCTGATGGATGACGGCCGCAATGCCGTCCGGCTCGAGCGAATTCTCGAGTTGCAAGGCTGTCTTCGCATCAACCGGGATTACCATGTCCCGGTGCTGGTCGATGCGGCCGACTGGGGCCGTAGCATCAAGATGCATGATAGCGAAGACGAGCTGCTCCCGGAATTGGCTGTGCCTCTGAATATGTCACTCCGCGCCCAGGGACACGAAAGCATTGTCGCAGCGGCACGAAAGATGCTATCCGGGCCGAGTCGGTGGTGGGTGGTTGATGTATACGTGGAGGATCCAGGTAAGTTCCCCCCGGCATCGCTGGTCTGAAGCACCCGTTTCCCGCCTCCCTGGCGCATGGCTGTAGCTTCGTTGTACGTACTAGTAGTAAGTGGAATGCGGTTTTTTTGCCCTAGATCAGCCAACCATCGAACCTTGGCTGCACACCCACCTCGTGCGCTCTCTACAGGAGCACTTTCCGAACGAGCGTCAGCCCCCTGATGGGTTAATCTATCAGCGGCTTCGGCTACCGTAGTTGATCACCTGACGCCCGTCCCCACCTGACGCCCGTTTTCAACTCATCGCCCATACAAAATTTGAAGCCGTACAACCACGAATAATTCGATTTATATAGAGATTTTTGAGTAGAGTGAAATATGCGTAGAATTAAAGCTATATAGCACTTTATTTAATCGCGAAAGCGCTGTGGAAGGCGGATTTGCCTACCTCTGCGATTAAGCGTTGGAGGTGCCTCATCAACGACCTCAACGCCTACAGGGGCGATATCAATCGATTCTTTCGCTTTTGGAGTGCTGGGAGGCCTATTCTTGCCTCGCTGAGCCGATTTAAAGTCATTTTGAAGCTGTATATCGGCCTGCTTAGCGAGCTGATCATCCTGCTTTTTACGCGTCTTTTCCTCTGCTTCACGAAGCCGTATTTCCTTATTTAAAGCGCGACTTCGCTTGCGTTCTTCAACTAAAAGCCTTTTATCTTCTTTCTCTTGCTGCTTACGAAGCCTTTCCTCTTCTTGTGAAGCCTTTGCAAGCCGTAAAGCTTCATCTTTCTCCGCTTGAAGATCACGGGCTTGCTGAATCTTCTTAGGAGAGTAAAACACCGCGTAGCCGTCCTCAGGGGCCCGTAATTCAGAAAGAAAAGGCTTACCTCGTTGACGCTTCTTCTTCTCTAGCTGTAGAGCTTCTTCAAGGCCTTGGCAGCGGAGTTTTAGGATAATATTCTCCGTAGAGAGATGATGCATCGTAGAACTCAATTTTTGAGCCTTTTGATCATATAAATCAGTCACTGCATGCTTGAGAAGCCTCTCTATCTTTCTCCAGTCTTCTGCACCAAGCACTGAGCGAGATGAATCACTAGAGGAAGGCCGATCATTATTATCTCGGCTGAATCGAGATAAAACGACCTCAGGGTCCCACGGCGCGATTCCTACCGATTTCCATGAAGAAATGATATTTTTAAGCGATAAAGCGCAACCCCATGAAGGCCAAAAGAGGCGGAAAAAGTCCCTTTTCGTAATATGACAGAGGCCTAAGCTGGTGTGAAGAAATCGCTCTAATTCATTGCTGTACGCGATTGAAAGCGGCGAGAAGATTCCGACGTCAAGCGGCTGCAATGAATGCGTAGAATGAGGTGGATACGTCATTAGAAGGATCTTATTCGCTTCGCAGTAGTTGAAGAACTTCATATTGACGTGTGAGCCATGGCCATCGAGTATAAGAAGCCTCTAACGCCTTCTTGCCTTTGCCTTAGTCTCTCGATCGAATATATCACGCAGCCACGCATATCCTAGCTCATCATTCGTCCAGCCGGAGGGTGAAGATGCAAAGAAACACTTGTGTTGAAGAGCTTCAAAATCCTGCAGCCAGGAATCTTGAACTTTTGAAGATGCAGCTTGATATATAAGGCCCGGAGATAGCGAGGTCCCATCAGCGCAAATACAGGCAATCGTAGTAATCCATTCGCGATTTCCATCTTGAAGCCGTTGCTTCATTCCATCTCGCTCGTAGACCTTCTTTGAGAAGATCCTTTTGCCTTTAGCGAGGACGCCAATTAAGAAGCCTTTCTCATCCATATTGTAGATATATTTCTCCTGCACTTCGTATTCATCAATTTTTCGCTTTAAAAGTTCGAAATATAAAGCGTATTTCCATGCAGAATCGGCCTTTTTTCGAGATGAATCGATACCAGTTGTGTAGCGAGAAATAAGCTTGTCCGAATGGCGCTTTAAAAAGCGGCTCGGCCACTGTTTTCCTGGCCGATTCCCGCTTATTTCGTGAGCGAGATTTTGTAGCATTTCATGCGAGATATAAAGGCCTCGCTTGCTTAATTCGTTGATATTCGAAATAAGCACTTTCGCCTGTTGATCGTTGAGCAATCGCTGGCCTTGATATTGATCATCTTTTGAATGCTGAACACCGCGAAATCGTCTTGCTAGAGTTGTTCGACTTATACCATACTTTTTCGCTAAAAAGGTATAGCTAGGTCGTTCTTCAAGGGCTAGCGATTCCAAATCTGCAATTGCCTCGTCAATTGGGGCCATATTCGTTGAATTATAGCGGTTTGAAAATGATAAAAAAGTCGGTGAAATTGAAGTTTTCGGGCGTCAGGTGATCAACTACGGTATATGAAGGGCATCTCGGCCCGCCCCGCGATGAACACGCAGCCGCGGCGTGGTGGGCTATTTTGCAGCACGACCCGAAGAGTAGGAAGCATCGATATGTCGCCGCATTCTTTAAGCATCCAACCCTTCCTCGGGCCTTTGATGCCCTTCTTCCCATCCCGGGTCTGTGGGCTTGTATGCATCTCGGGGTGCTCCACACCATGGTTTCTCTGCACTGCGATGAGGTATGTGGGCCTGCGCTCGTTCAATAATGCCGCTGCTGAAATTCGAGACGGTACAGCCCATCTTATTCTATCTGGAGCGGATCCGCAGCATGTGGGTTGATCAAATCCTCGGCGGCGATGCCGCGCTGGCCGGCGCTGCGGACGCCCACACCGTTCGCGCGATGGAATCGCGTGTTCCCCATATCTCGAAGCAGGATAAGGCGTTCCCGGAAAAGCAAATGATGACCGACCGGACGTTGTTTCCATCGATCTCTCTCCACGAGACACGAGAGGCCATCTGGGCTCGGCTACAGTCGATCGACACCCCGATTCCCAGCCTACGCACGTTCTTCCAGGATCTTCTTTATTTGGGCGTGGCGCGCAAGGCGATGCAGACGCTTCTCTGCCTGCGGGAGCCGGGATCGACGAGCAAAGTCACGATCGATGAGGCACTAGGCGGGCAACGTCCGGCCGGCACAAGCCAGTCTCTGGAGGCTCTCTCCCAGCAAACTCGGCAGGGCCTGCAGGAGCTTTGGCGGTTCTGCTTCCAATATGGCTTGGAAATAGCGGGAACCGCACGCCGTCTGCGTCAGCCACGGAAGCCGGAGCGATTGCCCGACTCGCTGCATGCCGGAAATGAACCAACATGGATAAGCCGAACGACGCTGTTGCGCCACTTTTTCTGGCTTGCCGAACAAGAAGGATTCACCGTCCCCAGCCTGCCCGGTCTAGCGCCGCAGGCCGTGTCCCTGCCGACGCCACAGTCACGCGATGCGGTGCCGAACCTGAACCCGGATTGCGATGAACCTGTTGCCCGACGGCGCGGAGTCCCGTATGTTGACACGGTTGATGCCGACCGGTTCGCCCTGGAAAAAGACCGGTTGTGGGAGCGCTGGGATAGCCCGTACATCACGGCAGAGTTTGTACGGCGATCGCAGTTCCAGGCCTTTTTCGGCTACCTCCATGGTAATGTTGCACCTAGCCAGGCCGCTGAGAGTCCCTGGGGTGATGCGCCGGCATCCGATGGAGCCGGGACGCCCGACCATGCTATGCCCGATCAAGGCATCTCCGGGGGTCCTCCAGCATCTCCCAGCATCGCAGATATGCTACCGGACATACGCAGCCCTTCTAGCTGGTCCAACGCCTTTCAGGTGAGCGGGCTGTTTGGACTGGAATCCTTCCAGATGCCAGGGTGGAGTTTAAGGGTGGACGTGGAGATTCCGGGACGGGAGACGAAGTCGTTCTTATTACAAGAGCCAGCAGGGTCGAACGACTCCTTTGTACAGGGGGGCATCAGCCCAATTGAATCGTTCCTCAACGGACTGGGACCGGAATTTGTGTTTTATGTTCCAGAAAATCGGACCATTCTTCGCGAGCAGGTCCACACCTGGCACCAACAATGTCCGGACCAAACTCTAACGGCCCGACTGGACCAGCAAATACTGCAAGAAGCCACAGCGACAAAGGGAAACTCGTTCAAAAGACATATCAGGGAGCTGTCTGCGTCCGAGCTGGAAAGTAAACTGGCAGAAGTCGCCGCGTGGGTTGATAGGCAAGCAGATGGGCACTGGATTGTATCTACTACGGCTATGCCAACGATCAATATAGCGGAGGGATAGTAGCAGAATATGATTGCGGCCAGTGCTGCCCAATTGGAATACGTTCCTGTTTCTGTGCAATATTTCCAACGCGAGGTAAACGTGCGCTTGATAGCACATCGGTCGTGATTTGGGTAAATCCGAAGAACGTCAACTTTGTAGGCTGATGTGGCAGCCTCGAACGCCAATGGGCATGTACCATTTACTGTTTACCATTCGTTGCTTGACACAGGCAAGTTTCTAATTCGCATCCTACCCACCGTACAATTCCCCTCGATGTACAAGGGTAAGGGTTGGATGGTTGGAATATATACTTATTGCTCCTTGCGCACAGGTGTTGGAGATGGCGGAGTTACAGCCAGCCAACCTTACTCGGCTAATTTAGCTTCCTATCGAGGACTCCCCTTTCCTTTACGCAACTTCTCTCGGACCAGGGCCAGATTCCGTGGCTTGAGCCATCTGCGGACGTTGTTGCCCGCTGTCGCCACCAAGACGTGGCCTCCCTTCCTCCCCTTGCTCCTCCAGCCCGTTGAGTACGTGACTCAACATCATTTCGAAAGAGTCCGATTCTTGGCCATCCACGCCGCGCTCCTTCAGCAGGTAGTCGATCACGGTGCCCATCCGATGGCTCGTCTCGTAAAGAATATCTGCCAGCTTGGCCACTTCCTCGAGGTCGGCCGTGGTTTGCTTCAACGCCTCTCGTGTGGAGCGATGATCGTAGTTCCGCCTCTGCCGGTCACGACCGGCTCGAGCAGCCCGACTGCTTAGTTCGGCGATGGTCCGGAGCACGTCCTTCTCCGATTAGCGGGTTCATAGCAGGCGATGGAAGGCAATACTTACAGATATGTCCATACCTGAAATTAGGCACAGTATGGTAAGGCGTAGGAATGTGGGTTCGATGTAGGGAATAATTCCGAAAGAAAGGTTTCGTGCACATGAATGTTGGAATGAGCTGTTTAAGTACCCTGTGTTTGGCTAGCTACCTCGGCCAAGAGCCACCGTGTAACCACTATCGGCTTGCCGTCGAAACTCTCAAATGCTCTGGGTGGAAATCTAAGTTGAGGGCTTGGAAATACCATTGCAATCGCCCGGGACTAGTGAAAAGACATACGCACTTTTGAAAATTATACCGGTTGGACCATCAACAAGATACTCCGCGTGCCTTTCAGCTGGAGGCGCATGCAGCATTAACGGCACCCTAAATCGCGGGATTCCCTTCATACAAAGCTCATACCAGGACAACACGCCGTTGTTCTTAGGGTTTCAGTGGTTATATCACGGCCGAGGTGCATGAGAGGAAGCCGGAACTCTACTTTTCCCCAAGATGGATGAAATTGTACGATTGGTCAAGGCAATGGGTCGACAGCAATGCCTCAATGCTTACTACCGGGTTTGTTACCTGCTTTTGAAAGAATTACAAGAAAGGATCCAGTCCGATTCCGACAACCTTCTGAAACTATGCTTTGACGAATCCACCGGTCCCGGCGATCTGGAGCAGGCCGCTATCATCGCGATTGGCCTCCGTGACACTGTCGCGGCCCTGCGCGCAAAGGAGAGAAGGGCACGTATAGACCGGGAAGAGTTCTACTGAGCCGGAACTTGATCATGTAGGCTGGTTGGTTGACAAGAGGAAATTGTGTCGGGTGAATTGACCAGCCATAGATCCGCATCACTTCCACCGAAAGGAGGCTAGTATGAGATATGCGACCAGGATAATGCACGAGGCAGGAGAACGTGGAACGGATGATGTGATTCTGCAGACGCAGTCATCCACCAGAATGGTGGGCAGGAGGGGGGGTTTGTGCTGGCCTAAGGCGGCAGGGCAGGCTTTCGCGGTGAAATAAGGTGTAGATAGCATACTGATTGCACACCCACTCAATCTACCTAGTATTCTGATTGCAGTGTCAATCCAGTGGGCCGAGCATGCACTCCAGTCCGAGCCCGAATTGAGGGTTGCCCGCATAGGCATTCTCGACGTGCTGGTAAACCACATACAAATAGGATCAAGTACACCTTCGCTCTTGAAAGACATGTCATTCTTCCAGTCAAACCATGAACAATCGCCATGGGACTATCTGGTACCAGTCTGTCGGCACACCGGCGGCAGGGAAAAGGGACCTTCACGAGGCAACATTGAACCCCACAAAAAGGCAGAAGTCGGACTCAGCTGCCTGTGATGACGGATGCCACGAACAGGACCCATGGACCGTATACAAACAGAGAGCGGTGGTTTTTTGCGGTCGCTATGTTGCGCTAGCCCATCATCGAGAGCACCAATCGAAAATCGTCCACATTGAGCGTCTTTCTATTGACAGGCCTGGTACGCGATATCTCATACAAACAGTGGAGCGACTGTCCCACGAGAGCTTTCTCAAATTACTCGAGGCCTATTACTACGAGAACCGACTGTTCTTGGTGTGGGAGCCGGTCGAGCTGTCGGTGAGAGAAATTTTAGACGCCCGGGCGCCCATCAATGAGCCACAGCTGGCGCAGATTATATTACCGGTATGTGCCATGGCGTAGGGAAAATGTCACACTGACGGACGGAGGCAGATACTCCAGGGAATCGTGTTCCTTCGCGAAAAAGGAAGAGCACTCGCCAAGCTGGACTCGAAAGCGATCCTGCTAAACAAAGATGGGATTGTGCGGCTTGGTACGTCTTCGTGCCCCCAAACCGGGTAACGATCCGAGCATCTAACCCAGTCTACCAGCGGGTGCGGAACACAGCTGCCAGATCCAGCCATCGGAGATGAACTGCGACACGTTGAAACTGACTGCTCTGGCCGCTATCGTGGCCGATCTGATGGATCAGAAGGGGAGTAGGCCTATCTGGAGCTCGCTGGCAACAGAGTTCCTTCGAGATCTGACGACCAAGCGCCTGAACGAGTTGCTGGAGGTACGTTGGCACGTTCAGTCACCTTGCTGCGTCTTGCTCACCATTCTACAGCACTCCTTCTTAAAGGAGGCGGGAGGAGCAGGCGACCTAATGCCGTGTGTCTCTATAACGAACAAGATTGCCAGCCACAATATTAAAGAGGTGAACAATGTCTAGCTACCCTTCCGGATCGCACCGGGGAGCCTTGCCCGCTGCGATATGACCAGTGGCCAAGCATAATTTAGAACTTGAACTCCATGAATACTATATCAATACTATACTGCATAGGCCCCAGGTTCTCGCCCCTTGGCCCCCCTTTCTAGTACCTTGGCAGCTTCACGGATGCTATCTCTCGTACTGGCTATCTCTTCTTCAAGCTCGCCTATATACTCTTTCTGATGCTTGATTTCCCTCTGCAAATGCCGGGTTTTTATTCCAAAGGCTCGCAACCGGTGTAAGCATGCTTGCATACGATCACGAAGACGCTCGTTCTCGTCATCGAAGTGCTGATTCTCCTGCTCCAAGCGTTGAATAGTCGCGGTAAAGGAATCGTCTTCAGGCGTCGGGGTCGGTTCATTTTCGGTCTGCCCAATCATTTCCATCAGCCCTGAAATACTGTGTGACATATGCCACGGGTAGAGACGGCTATCGTCATTAGACGTCTTACATTCTCATTTAATTCCAGATCATCGTGGTCCGCTTGCAGAACTGCCGGACGGACGGCTTCGAGCGAATGTCCAAGCGCACGGCATATCTCCTCATAGAGACCAACGGTTCCATTGCTCAGGGGCGTCTCCAAAAGATGCGCCTTGGAGTCGGTAACGGACCAGACATACCCGTCCTGTGGAGCTGGCTGCAAGCGGACTTCGTTCGGGTCGATCCGCAAGCCGAGCCGGTTATCTAGGTCTATCAGTGTACGGCAGGATCTGGGGGCTCTAGGGGTGGTACGGATATGCCTGGACAATGCCTCGCGGCACCACTGTCGCCTCAGAGCACGCTTTTTATTACTCGATTGAGCCATGTGGGATGTATACAAGCCCTTCGTGCGCAAACCAAGGACGGATGAAAACCATCGGTCTGCACACGGTAGAGGATAAAAGGTGGATGATGCGGTAGCAACCATGGAACCGGGTGCCATAAATATGAGATGGCGGCCTGTATACGCAACAGAGAGGAGGCCACAATTGCCGGGATTGCTGAACCCGTTCTTGGCCATGTGCATTCGGGGTTCCGCTTGACCACTTGTAACTTTGACCCGGTGAGAAAAAAAACTCGAATCGACTCCCGGTGGATCATAACATTGAAATAAAATAAAGACATGTATTTATGATATATAGTTGATAAACCGTGTGAGGTACATGTTACTGAAATGAACTTGTTTGCGATGCTTAAACAAGACATAACGACCGTTGTTGATAAGCACACAAGCACCGATCAGATAAACAGGGTCGATGATGCGGATCCTGCGCTCAACCAAAAGCCATTTTCACCGCCGCGGCGGACAATTGTGACCGGAGGAGAGCCATTCGCACAAATGATTCTCCCGGGCTGATCTCAACTGAGCATTGCACGTAGTCTCATCCCCCTGTAGCACCATTTCGATCCCGTACGCGATGCCCAGAGTCACGTAGAGGTATGACTGCGTGATAGGCGGTTTTGTTGACTACACTGATGAGGACCTGAAGCCCTTCTTCGCCTGTTGAAGGCCGAAGAAAAGAATGCTGGGAAACCAGCATGCTTGCGGCATGGCGACTGAAACGTACGGGCAACCTACACTTAACAGCGCGTCCACAGGATTCACGAACGGGTTGTCAATCGCTATTGTCGAGAAATTCTGTGCATGCGAACTCCAGGGGAAAGCGGCCCTATTCTTCTTCATCAGTTCCGTGGCAATCGTCACGAGTGGAGCCAGTTGCGAAGCTGCTGCATCAGATGGGGAAGTGCCGCACTCGCGGCTGTGCTCCACGCCGGCTAGGTTTTGTCAACGTTAGTACGTTGCAGCCTTGAATCATGCCGGGCTGGCCTACCGATCTTGACTTCGCCGCTTGCAGTTATGAGTATGTCTCGAGGTGTCAGGCTCTGCAGGACCCTGCCCTGGTTGTGAAGGAACGCAATACCCTCCAGGACCTATCGAATCTGCGTCAATCGCTTCACTCGGAAGATAGAGGCTCATACATACGGGCCTGATAATCTGCACTATCTCACTCTCTGAGATCTCGCACGTTGATGCCAGAACCTCACTGACGGAAAATTCAATCGGCTCCCATATCAAAAAGTAGCGCTGGTGATGCTGCATGACATCCACAAGGCGGCGGAAGCTGCGGTGGGCGTTTTGATCCAGTGCTTGAACCCAAGAACTTACGATTGGTCGTTCCGTGCCATCATCCTGAATATGAACAAATTCCGCTTTACGTTGTCGATGCTGGGCCAGAACCATGTGTTCTCCGTAGACGATGCGAGCACATGGTTTGTATGTCTGCCACGGGTTGTTCGTCGGAATTTCACGAGGGGTGTATGTGGGTTCGCACGAGGACGTCTTCGATCCGAAATTGTTGGAGGGCTCGGCCAATACCGTGTCGGAATGGACGTTTGTGCGCACCTCCGGTGTTTGGACAGGCGGTGGTTGCTCGCCCTCAAACCACATCGTGCGGCCCGCGACCTCACGTCTATGACTGGACATGGCTCCCAGCGCACGTTAATCGGCGGACGAGGTCCATCGGCCACAGGTAGCAATGATCGCTGGCTCTTATACCGACGTGCCTCATCGCATGGACTTTGTCGTACCCGGGAACCGAGAGCTCGTCAAGGAATGTGGTATTTGACTACTCGATAAAAGGAATTTGGCCAGACCCTCCCTTTCACACCCCCTCGCGTTTTCTATGTGGGCCGTGGCAGTTCTCATCAAAGCGGTATTGCCCATCTCGGTGAAATCCAGCAATAGACCCTGGTTACTTGCATGTTGGCTCGTTCGTCAGATTCGGCGGTCAATACCATGGTCGGTTGGTCAACTGAGCGGGTCATCTGGGGACACATTATGGATCTTGCTCTACCGACACCGGGCTCGGTGTCGATGCCAATGGTGCATAGGCCTTCGGTTCATCAACATCGTAGATCCTTCTAGGTCGCGTCTTAGCATACGCATCTTCCAGAAGTGCAAGTTTGACCGGGGCGTCACATACCATGCCCCGCAGAAGGGTTGACAGTGTCGGGTTGACCGCTGTGGGACGGGATGGACCGGGTCTCCTTGGACATTGTCTATAATGTGTCGTTGGCTATTCTGGGAGCTTCCATGACCTCGCACATACCAATGCACTCCGTGCTTCATTCCCCCGGTGGATAGCAAGGCCCGACACCTATAGCCGTTTAGCCAAACCTTCACAGAATGAGGCGGACAGATCCCACAGCTATGGCCATTGCCCACATCAAGCTTAACACAGCCCACATTAGCTTGTCTCGGTCTTCGTGCAGAGCAGTAACAGCCACGTGCTAAGTGCCCGTCTTGCCTGGCGATGAATCCAAGTACCTGGTTGGAATCATCGAACGTACGCCGCATTGCCATTCACCATTCTGTTTATTATACGGTAGTTATTTCCTGGGCCTTGGTAGACTGGCTTCATGTGGCCGATCTGCCACACATAATGGTGGATTCTACGGTACACAAAACTGCTGGCCGTATCGGAGCTCGAACAATTGTTTTTTGCCTGCTTGCTGCTGTCGCAAAAGCGCCCGCGTTGAATCTGCTCTCATTGAAAGCAGCGATATGAAATGGCCCCCGCTCTATATGTCCTTTTTAAAAGCGGCCCTCACCTTTGTAAATAGGATAGGAAGCCCTGCGCCGGCCCCGGGCGCAAGCACGTACCGGTTGATGAGAGTGGAAAGAATAAATAGAGGAGCGCCTCTGTTCTCATTCCGCAGGTAGAACCGATGCAGGGGAATATTCAAGTAGCTCGGTCAATGATTCTGCGTCATAATGTCGCTGCATGGGCCATGTAGTGCCGACGATGATGCGTCTAGTATTTACAGCCGACCACCCCATATACCGAAGCTTGCGCAGCCATCGGCTAGTCCAACCCCGCATGATCTGCCCGACATTCAACCGCTCGATCACCAAATATACCTGGCTCGCGGATCCACCATCGCGCTGGAAACCACCCGGGCACGGTTGCAGTGTGCCAAAGACAACCGGCGACTCTCGTTGCCGGAGACCATTGTTGAAAAGAAGCGACAGTGGCAATGTCAGGATCACGAGAATCGCTTCTTTGAAACGTGTCTGGAAATCCTGGAGGACTTGTCCGCAGTCGCCGTCGATGTATCTCAAGAGCTGATCTTGCAATACGAGTTCGAGCCAGAGACCAGCCCGGAGGGTAACGCGCGCGTTCGACGAGCAAACCAGCGGCTTCGCAGCGCCCTGCAGCAAGCGCTCGAGCGGGAAGCACGTGCGGAGTTTGAATGGAAAAGACAATGGAATGTTCCTCGGATATATTTGCTTGGCTGGTAGATACTAGATGCAACAGTTCTCCATAAAGTGGTCCATGGAGCGCTCCATGTGCTCATTGCTCGTCATGTCGTCTCCAGGGGTGAAAGGGGGGTTGCTCGTCGGCCCCACTGTTGTTTTTTCACTGATAGAGGGAGTCCAGCAGCCGGTGGGACTGTTTTGACCGCCAGCTGCTGGCCGTTGACGAAATTGATCCGTCTGAGCATTGTCTCTGGACTCGGCTGTGAAGCTCACAGAGGATGTCATTGGGTCATGGTAAAGAACTAATGCCTGTGAATGGTTGTCATCCGGTAAGGTATCCTTGAGTATTTGAACCGACATTTCATGGTTCCTGCCCATGACGCTAGATTCCGGACGGTCTGCATATGCACTGTACGGAACTCCCTTGACGAGGTATTGGTCGCCGCGTGAGCCGTCCATGGGCCCGGGCAGTTGCAAGCATGGGTTTGAACATATCATGACAAGCCATGCTCAATTTATCAGGATCAGGCTACGGTATACCGGACGTGCCGGTCTCCCCAGGTGCCAAAAAGGAGACCTGATCAGCCCTTGCACGGAAAGGCGCAGTAGGATAGCCCCCCATTTCCTGGGTTAACTCAGTAAGGCGATCATTATCTTGCTAGACTAGCACAGTAGATATCTTCGGCCCGCATTTTGTCGAAACTCGACCCATGGAGGGGGTAAGTGAAAAACATTACATATTGCTTTGACCACTAGCACATCACGTAGAGTACCCGAGGCAGCTCTAGTAGGGATAATGTAGGGAACCTGGCAAATGGCCGAGAATTTAGGGGTCTTGATCCAAACTGGAAGCTGGGGCATATTGCAGCTGCGGAGCCCAGGAACAGTGCCTCTAGGTATTGTTGTTTAGCTATTCTTTTCATGAGGGTCATTGCACCCACATATGGGAGCACACCCCTCAGTATTTGCACATCTGGGCTACCTGTCGCTAACCTACATCTGAATCATCGTGTAATATGGCCGGAGTGACTTGCTAATGATACTCGTTTCGTCTCTGTTAATATTTAAGTGAAGACTTCAGAAGACACCAAATGCCATACATAAATACTTCCCTCCCCATAGCTATCTTCCTACCTACAGGATGCCGCCAGCGACATCCCTCTTATACGACCGTATTGTTCGAATATCGCAGACTGACTGGTATGGGATATGCGCCGTAATCATCTTGGGAAGTTGGCTTGGCTGGCGTCTTGCCTACCGGTCTTGCCGTTGCATTTTCCGACGGCCTGTAATGCACCTGCGCCGACTTTTAGGCTCCCCTCTGCCGAGGCCATTTTATCAACTTGACATGGCCACAATCCAAGAGGGGCTGATTGTCGTTTTCCAGCTCACGGTGAATATCCTGCCATTGGTTATACGGTCTCGATCTTGGATGGTTGTCCACCGACGGGCTGCCAACATCGCGGTCATGAACCTTGTTCCACTATGGGCAGGGTTGACCTTCGGACTCCCCGCCCATCTTACGGGAAGACTATGGCTGAGTCAGCCGCATGTGGTGGAGAGGTTGGAGGTCCAGGACCTTTCTTGGAACAGTGCGGACAACCCGTGGATTTCCGACGCGGAAGAAGCCGCGTTCCAATCAAGTGGGGCGTGTGGGCCGGCGGCCGGCCAGCTTGGGGGTTTCTTTGACATCTATACAGGAGCGGTATCATATAGAGGGACTGTATCCATAGAGGGAACAATCGAACAATCGAGGGGGATCGAAGATTGTTTGTCGAGACGAATCCGGATATCAAACCATCGCGAGTTATTGAGGTGCTGTGGCTGTCATTGTGTGCCGAGCGGGAACTAATCCCGGCCCGATGGCGATCCCGCCCGCAGGGGTTACCGAACCCCATCCCACAAACACCCAAGAAACAGCGACAATTTTCAGCGACTATGATTTTCGCCCGAGGATCCCAACAGCAAGAAAACGCCGCAGGCGAGGCCTTGACGCAGAAGAAAATGAGCCGATCGCAAATCCTGAATTTGCGACCGGCGGAGAAAACCACGGGCGGGTGACGAACCAAGACGTCCGACAGTACTTCAACAGCTTCAGCGAGGCGATCAAGCTCCAGACTGAAATAATTGAGACAGTGAGGGCGGAGGTCCGAGAACTGAAAGCCGAACAGCAGCTCCTGCGAGCTCACAATGAGGAACTGCGGGAAGAGATTCAAGCCCTACGGGCCAAACTGGAGACACAACCGCTGAACACCCCCGGGAACAGATCCTGGGCGGATGTGGCCGCTGGCAACCCCTCGCCAGACCCCGCAAGAACCGTCCCGCGCCCCAGGAAGGAACCCAATTGTGTCCGAATTAGTACCGCACCAACCCTAGATCAAGATGTTGATAATGACCGATTCTCGAGAGCCCTGCCCACTGAAGCAGCGAACACCCATATTAGGACCGCCCTGCTGAACGCAGAGACCACCAAAGCAGTGCAAGTAGCGGGCATTGGTACTACCAAAACAGGATATGTCATCCGATTCCGCGACACCCAGTCTGCGGAGACAGCCCGGAACAGCACCGAGTGGCTGGAGGAGCTGGGAAACAACACCAAAGTAGTGAAACCCCGGTTTGGGATCGTGGTTCACCGAGTCCCGACCGAGGACTTCGAACTGGAAGGAAACAAGAAACAGGGAATAGAGAAGATTATGTCCGAGAACGACCTCCACGACAAGAAATTCCGGGTCGAGGACATTGCATGGTTGAAGAAGAGAGACATGCCTCTGGGGAAATCTGCTTCGATGGGGGTCTGGCTGGACTCACCGGAGGCAGCAGAATGGATCATCAATAACGGACTATTAGTTGGACAAAGGTTCATCGGGAGCGTGGAACCCTACCGGGTGGAGAAGAAGAGGTGCCGCCGCTGCCAACAATTTGGCCACCTAGCCTGGTCGTGCAAGGAACGAGTGAAATGTGGACACTGCGCGGGCCATCACGACCAGCGTTACTGCTTCCCAGGAATAAGACCGAGATGCTCAGACTGCAATGGAGAACACCCGACAGGCGACCGGGCATGCCAGGCATCCCCTAACCCCAGTCCATCCCAATGACAGCAAACCTCCGCATCTTACAGTTAAACACCATGAAATCCAGGCCAGGGATGGAGGCCCTTATTAACGATCACCAAAGCCAGAACCTAGACCTGCTTCTGATTCAGGAACCACCAAAAACAGCATACC